TTTAAAAAAAAAAAAAAGAATCATGGGTCAGTGACCATTCATTTGTGTTCATATGAAAACAGAACTTTTCTCCATTTCTTAGCGATAATGGGCATTGCACAGTACTTGCATTTCTAATTATATTCTGTCTGGAAAGCTGAAGTATTACGGCTGCAATATGTAGTAAGTAGAAAGATGTGCTGTTTTCTGCCAAGTGTAATGGTAATATTTTTCTTCGTATTCTTCCATGTATTGATGTTAAAACACTATTTAAATGTTTTAAGGTACCAAAAAGAGGAGAAATTCAACTTTAAGGCTTATGGTTGCTATTTTTGCATCTCAGTTCTTAGAACAAATTCAGAATGAAGCATTTTTAAAAACTGAAGGCAAGAACTGTTTTAGGGTTGTAGCTATTCTCTGATATTCTGAGAGCACTTTAATACATTATCTTCATAATGTAGTGTATTACATAATGATTTTTTCCAGCATATTACGAGTTTATCCTTCAATTAAGAAAACAAATCATGCTTGTCCCTAAGTCAGGTTTTTTTCCCTTAAAATCTATACTCTAATGTGATTTATCAATATGATGAAAGCTACTGAGTGTGCTTTAGGACATTGAACAAATATATTCACGTAATTCCTTATAGACACTTCTATTTTAGCCTTTCTTTTCATATTTTGTTCCTTTCATCAAGGTTATGTTAAAGATGTATAGGATGTAAATCAGTTGGGACTGTGCTGATTAAAATGCAAACAGTAAATACAACTTCAGGTCTAGAATGGGATTATAGGATTAAAATGAATGAAAACTGCTAGTGTGCTAGAATTGAAAATTCCCAATCAATATCATCCTTTGATTTTACTAATAAAAGAACAAAAACCTGGAAGTGAAAATGACAATGCAACATCATAAATCTTCCCACTTGTACGGTTAACTGTTTACTTTGTTTATTTGGTTGGGGTCAGCGTAAAGAAATAATACCAAATATCTGAGGTCTTTCCCCATTACTTTTTCGTTTAAATCGTGGGCCCAGTTCTTCCCTTCCACCTGGCAGGGGATAGAGGCATCAGTTCCAGTGTTTTGGTGTAAAAAGATACTTCCCATATCCACATCCCTTTTTCTCCCAATTAGCGAGTGGACTTTATACTGGCTGCTGCTTCAACAAAGTTCCCAGCCCATCAACCAATTCTAGCCTGAAACTGTACTTGACATTGGGTTCTTTCTTCAGGACTCAAAAAGCGTTGTATAAAAAACAGGCCTGTGCCTAATACTTGTGGGATTTAGGACAAAAGTACAAATGCAGACCTTCATACCATATATCTAAATAATTAACAAATTGTTAAATAAAGTATGTTCCCATCAACCTACCCTGATAAATACACCTTCTTAATGACCAGATTTGATTTTGGAGTTTTCAGCCAGCCCATGGGCTTCTCTCCCCACCCCCAGCTTCATCTTCCACTAGGAGGAGCCTCACATACACAGGAATGGATGCCCCAGTCCAAACTTCCAGGCTCTGGCACCATGGTCTGTCTTTGGGAGAATGGCTCAGGGAAGAGTCCAACACAGGCCCTCGAAGCAGTTTGAGTAAGGAATTCCTGGATCTTGGGTACCTCACCATGGGGAGAGGGTGGGATGGAGGAGGATGGTTAGGGCAGGGGCCCTCCTGCCTGTGTCTAAGGGTTATATTGTTCCTAAGAGTGGGAAAGCACTATGCCAGGAAGAAAATAGTCCTGTGGACTCGCAGCCTACCCAGAGTGCTCTTGCCACCCCAGCCGAGGAAATGTGAAATGCTATAAACTAAGATCTATTTATTTACAAGAGGCCCTGCATATATTCAGTAAATATTTTGTTGTCCCCATAGAAGCCCTCAAGCATCTCACTGTTTTTCATCTTGAAAGTTTATCACCCCCCCAAAAAAAATACAGCTGATCAACATGTTCAGAGACAGCAAGTAGCTAGATAAATTTCTATCATAAATAGTTACTAGCATCTAAAATCTACAGTATTTTGTTTGTGGCCATTATTCTGGGTAGGGAGGAGAGGAAATGAGAGGCATCCACCACCTCTATGTAAGCCTTATAAAGTATCCCTCTGTATTTATAAATAGTCTGTTCTGGGTGGTAGTCAGGAAAGAAGAAAATGTATCTGGTTACATTTGCATTTAGGGTGAATGTTCAAGACCCTTTGACAACATGAAAACATGTTTTCACAATTTGAAGGGTTTTTGCTTGTTTTTCTAAACTGATTGCTTTCCACTTGGTTTTTATTTTTCATTGATTGACGATTAATATGCTTTCGAATATGTTTCTGTGAATTATCACTCTCGACACATGCCATTTTAAGAGACGTGGCAGTCAAATGGAAGAGGCTCTAAGAAGAGGCACTGCTGCTTTTCATATGATACTTAATACAGATTGGCCTAAACATTGGCCTTGACAAGAAATCCAGGTTCACAGATAAATGAAAAGAAAGCATAGTGAACACAGATGTGGGATAACACCGTTTTGCTTTCAGGCTCATCATCATTTGCCTTATAGGCCACTCTTTGTTTTACCTTAGATGTCTAGTGAGCTCTTCAAAAGGACTTATCTTTCTCCAGTTTGCATCTGGGAGCAACGTACTCTCGGCAGGGATTGTATCAGCTGATTAATAGCAAGGGCATGAGGGCACTCCAGAAATAGAAGTAATGATTGCTGTAAGCCCTCCCATCAATGAGGAATTGAGTCTGCCATGGCTGGCTCGATTCATTAGAGTAAGGATATTAATGAAGCCAAAGGTGTGAGTTCAGACCTGTGCAGGCCAGTTAATGCCACAGCAAGGGAGAGCTCTGTATGGTGCCCAAAGTCACAGTCCGGCCATTTCCCAGAGTGAGGGGGTGGGGTAACTCCTCAGGCACCCCTCTGGTTGCAGAATGACAGGAAGCTAATGCATCCTACCTCATCACCTTAGTTTGGGACGGAGAGTAGAAACACATATTTTTAACATTTTTGAATGTTAAGCTCAGCATTGAGGACCGCACTTACCCCTTGTCTTTGGCTATCCGTCTCTGATGTGTCTTTTCGTGTGTTTCAGAGAGTCGAATGATCTTGGATGCCTTTGCCCAGCAATGCAGTCGAGTTCTTAGTCTCTTAAATTGTGGAGGAAAGCTTCTGGACTCCAACCATTCCCAATCCATGATTTCTTGCGTAAAGCAGGAAGGCTCGAGTTATACTGAAAGACAGGAGCAGTGTCCCATCGGGAAAGGGGTCCACAGTCAGACCTCAGATACCGTAGACGTAGACATGCAATATGTGCAAAGGAAACAACAGACTTCTGCCTTTTTGAGGGTTTTCACTGATTCCCTACAAAATTACCTGCTCTCGGGGAGCTTCCCGACTCCAAACACCTCATCGGTCAGTGAGTACGGCCACCTGGCCGACGTGGATCCTCTGTCAACCTCCCCCGTGCATACACTAGGTGGCTGGACCTCCCCGGCGACCTCTGAATCCCATGGTCACCCATCATCTTCTACTCTGCCAGAGGAGGAGGAAGAGGAGGAAGAGGAAGGCTACTGTCCGAGATGCCAAGAGCTGGAGCAGGAGGTTATTTCACTGCAACAAGAAAATGAAGAGCTCAGACGGAAATTAGAGAGCATCCCAGGTACCGTGCCGTTTTCCTTGCAAGCCGCCTGCAGATCCTTCCTCCCGTTGTCTCAGCTGTGTGTGTGTGTGTGTGTGTGTGTGTGTGTGTGTAGGCATGTGTATCTATTTTCGTTTTGGCCAGCAAGGGAGAAAAGTTGGGAAAAACAGACATGCTCACAGGGTGGCCTTCGCCTTCCAGTGCCAAATGGAAATTTCAGGACAAACTACTAGCTTTGTCCTGTCTATGTTTAGGTCGGGGAAAGGCCTGAAGACCACTGTCCTGTTCAGAGATGTCTCTATCCATATAAACGTGATTCCAGACTTGACTGAAGAGTGCAGTAGGCCAGGCGTCATGAGCCTCAGTTTTCGTCAGAAAGTGGCCCTCTTTTTTAAAAGCGGCTTTTGTATTTTTAAAGACTTCATTATATGTGTTTTATTAGTAATAGAGAGTAAAGTGGAATGATGCTTTCAGAGGGGGGGACGTGAGTAGTACTGAGCAAGTGGTCTCTTCTGTTCCGTTAATTTCTTGCCATTCTTGTTAAGTTTCTGCAGGCAATAGTCTCGGTTTAGCGTGCAGCCTCCCCCTGAAAGTTGATAAGCAACGTAAACTAAGAGGAATAGATCAAAGACAGACCAGTAATTAAGCTGATCCCAAACTATTTGTGCCCCTGGCGAAGCAGGCATTTCCTGCCTCTTAGAGACACTAGATTTGGAGAGTTAGTAAAGTCACCTTTATGGCAAGATCTTCTCTGGGTTGCAAGGCCATGTTTTTACTTAAGTACCGATTTTGCTTCTATCTTTGAATTCATTCTTGCATATCTGTGACTTACAAAAGAGTAATATCATTAGAACAAATCTTCAAACCCCGTTAATCACACAACCCCTTAATAAACATTTTTGAGCGTGTACCCCCAGTGTTCACATTTATTGGTTAGTTACAAACATGTCCTACTGTACTAATATAGTGTGTTCAAAATAAAGTATATGTAACACATTAAAGTTTTTAAGGCTGATACATAAATATAAATAGAATGTTTGTTCTTTTCCTAACTCAGTGTCTTTGAACCACTCAGTTTGGCAGCTGACTTAAAAAGAAGGAAATATTGAAGAATACTATCCACTTGTTTATTAGTGCACAGACAAAGCAAAAACAAAAGCAAGTGTTAAGAATTGCCAAACCAGAAATTTATTTTCCTTCCATCCTTTCATTTCTTCTTATTATTTTTTTAAGATTTTATTTATTTATTTGACAGAGAGATCGAGAGCACAAGTAGGCAGAGAGGCAGGCAGAGGGAGAGGGAGAAGCAGACTCTCCACTGAGCAAGGGAGCCCGACGCGGGGCTCGATCCCAGGACCCCGGGATCATGACCTGAGCCAAAGGCAGGCACTCAACCAACTGAGCCACCCAGGCGCCCCCCATCCTTTCATTTAAAAGCATCCCCCAAATAGACCTGAGTTTTAGTTCAGAATATTTTGGAATTAAATTTAGTGCAATTGTGTTGTGGGGGAGAATCAGGAGGTGAAGTAAATCCTTTCTCTCCCTTTGCCTTTGAGCCCTGGGGTTAGATAAAAGGTCGAGGTGTCTTTCCAAGCTAGCAGGCAGCAACTGCAGGAGACCCGGGGTAGAACTCAATGCAGGGGAACAAGTGCTGCTCTGGGTTCTCCCAAGTCCAAGAGAGTGGGCTACAGCTAACACACTGGGGTTTTACAGCTTTCACAGTTCCATGAATTATGGTTGGGTAACTTGGAGTTTTATCCCCAAAGGAGTATTTTCCATCTTGCTCCCCATCTTCCTCTTTCCCTGGGGGAGAAAATAGTGTCCCAGAGATCAGCGAATTTTAGATACTTACATCAGCCATTCAGAACTGTGGCTCAGAGTTTCAGAGTGCAGGGACAGGTAACACAGATGTCCAGAGTGGTATTGTCTACTTCCCAGTCCTAAATGCTTGTCCTGGGCAAATACCAAGCAACTTTGGGGTTTAGTCCTCCAGTTTCCCGAATCTGTACCAGGTGAAATGTCTGTGTCACGGATAACTCATCGCTGACCTGCCACTAATCACTGTCTCTGTTTCCCAGAAAGATGGAAATGCTGCAATTTCTTGAGCCTTCTAGATGGTCCGATATTGAATGACACTGTTTGAAATTAGGCTGTGGTCACCACTGTTAGGGTAAACAGTCCAGCCCTGTTGACAGACCCCTCCATGAACTTGAATCAAAAGCCATTTCACATGGAGAACCATGATTGCTGTAAACAATCCATACTGAAACCCAACTATATAAACGAAAATTAATTTGTTGGGGCACCTGGATGGCTCAGTTGTTTAGGTGTCTGCCTTTGGCTCAGGTCATGATCTCAAGGTCCCAGGATCGAGCCCCATGTGAGGCTCCCTGCTCAGCGGGGAGTCTGCTTCTCCCTCTCTCTGCCCCTCTCCCTGCTGGTGCATGCTCTCTCTTTCTCTCAGATAAATAAAATCTTTATAAAAAAGAAAAGAAAGTCAGTTTGTCAGTTATGAATAGAAAAAAATTAGTATAAAATTCAAGAAAGATTAACTTATTTAAGGGGTGCCTGGGTGGTTCAGTCAGTTAAGCGTCTGACTCTTGATTTCAGCTCAGGTCATGATCTGAGGGTCGTGAGATCGAGCCCCATGTCAGGCTCCATGCTGGGCATGGAGTCTGCTTGAGATTCTCTCTCTCCCTCTGTGCCCCCACCCCTCCCCCATGCACACACACACTCTCTCTCTAAAAAAAAAAAAGAAAGATTAGCTTATTTGTGATTATTTAACACATGTACTCATTACATAGGGATGCCTTAGTATTGGGCATCCAGTTGAATGTGTCACTTACAATGAAAACTTGAAGCAGGCATCCCTGTCCCCTTGCCCACACTGCCCAAACTCCATCTTTGGCTAAACAACAAACCAGATTGTGGGTGATCACCTAAGAATCCACCTTTCACTCTATTAGCTATGAATTTTGGGGGAGGGAAATTCGTTATTTTTAGACGGCCATTTGAAGAAAAGTGCAGCAAGTGATAGATAAAGTAGATAAAGTAGTAAAGAGAATGAGTTAAAAGTAAAAAGCCATCTGGTTTTACATGTAACAGGAGTATTTTGCAAGCAGTAGCTCTCCTGGATAATTTGGGATGGATTTTCTCTAAGCATTGTCAAGGTTTCCCAACGGCCCCAGCAAGCTTCTGTTGTTCTAAAGGCCAGTGCCTTTCCATGGGAGGGCCAGGGACCTGGGACCTTCCAGTAGTAGAAACTACCCTTATGTTGTGGGATTACTCTCCCTACAGCCCAGCAGGATGGATGAGTACAAAGGAGAAAGTAGCATTCAGAGGAAATAGGGTTAACAAGAAGATAGGGACACCTGCCTGCCCAGGTCAGAGCTGAGGCACTGATTTTAGTCCCTTCTCAGCTGTTCCAGAGTTGTGCTGTTGAATGACTTTGAGATTCCTGGGTTTTTTTATTTTTCTTTTTTTTCCTGAAATAAAGCGTTCATACCTGGGAGCAGTTCATGAAGTAGGACTTCCAATAAGCCTGTTAGAATACAGGGGGAAATTGGCTCACCTGGGCAGCTATAAAAGGGGACAAGAAAGTGCAGACATTACCAAAAAGAAAGAGGTTGGGGAAGGTGCTCTTCCCGCACCACCTGACAGGGCCTGGGTTACTTGTATTCTTTGTCAAGGAGTCAGCAAAGGCCTGTTGAATGTCAACCACATGCAAGCAAGGGGCTTCTGGAGAATAGTCCTCTGACTTCCTGCTCACAGTGACTTGCAGATGTGGATGAAGGAGCACTAGCACTTCCTCTTTGGCGTTAGATTATCACACCAGAAGTTAGTCCATTGAAAAGTTTAAATTATTTAAAAGAAAGTGAAGATAAGTTAAAAGTAAAAAGCCACAGAAGGAAATGATATTTGGATCAGGAATATGAAAAGCTGAGACCTTATTAAAAGAAGAAAAATGGGGCACCTGGGTGGCTCAGTCGTTAGGTGTCTGCCTTCGGCTCAGGCCATGATCCCAGGGTCCTGGGATTGAGCCCCGCATCGGGCTCCCTGCTCAGTGGGGAGCCCGCTTCTCCCTCTCCCACTCCCCCTGCTTGTGTTCCTGCTCTCACTATGTCTCTCTCTGTCAAATAAATAAATAAATAATCTTTAAAAAATAAAAATAAAAGAAGGAAAATGTTGGGGAAATGTCTTCCTGGAGGGAGTATCAGCTTAGAGCCAGCACACTTGTTTAGAAAGCTAACGGTCAGCAGCACGAGGCGAGAGAACTCCTAAGGGAGGGTGGATGTCAAATACCACATGTCATCTAATTTAAGACCCCATCGAATGCAAGACGCACCAATATTCTATCTTCCACTAAGAAGAAAACACTGTGAATCATAACTGCCCCTTAGAATTCTCTTTGAACAAGCAAATATGAGAAATGTGGGTCTTAGATTCATAAAACATGGTAATTTTAGAAAATAACTTCCAAAGTAAAATAATTATGACATGTTAAAAATACCTTGAGACGTTCTAAGTGCCAAATATACAGAAATATACTACTGACATTATTAAAGGACTTTCTACTTTTTAAAAAGCACATTTATGATTATCTCAATTTATCTTCAGAACCCCGAACAAATATTAATATTCCCACTTTATAGGCAAAGAGGTTGAAGCCGGGACAGGCCAAGTCTGTGGCAGAGCTAGAATTATTTTCCAAGCCTCTTGACTCTAGATCTAGTTTATTATCCCCTTTCACCCTGGAAATCACCTGGGGTTTTTTCAGTTATTTTAGAAACCCCCCCCCCCCCCGCAAAAAAAAATTCTACCATGTCGATTCTCACAGTTCATTGTAGTTACCTTCTATAAAGTCACTGTCAACACTGAATTAGCAAATACCGAGGCGTCACTCTTCGGGGAAATACAAAGCTGGGTTTTTGAGGACCCTGGTCACATTTTTTATCAACCGATCAATGCATGTTTATGTATGTTTTTGTTCAAAGAGACCTCATTTCATATATGGTGTTGTC